CTCTGCACCAGCTTGCATCGTCCTATTTTGTCGACCGTGATGGCACCATGCGGAGGCTCCACGAGATCCAGATATCAACAGGAGCAATCAAGGTACAGCTTGGGGGGGATTTGGGTGGCAGTTTCTGAAGACGACAGCACTGCAGGAAGACATCCTCAGAGTGGATGGACAGATGCGATACCCGGCTTCATACCTGTATAGCTGATGGTGGCCAGCTTTTCTGACTGAGGTTGTCTAGTGCCCTGTAATATCATAAGCATTGTCATTACAGTGGCCATAGGTACTGATTTACTGGAGCAGCTATGGTCATGGCATAAATTATCAACAGTCCTCATATTCGTCCTTAACGTTCTTCTTAATGGATGATTATCCATTAATCATCCCTTTCTGGGTGAAGAAACTGATGCTGTGAAGGGGTAAATGATCTCCCCGAGATCACAAAGCTAGGAAGAGTCAGATTATTGATGCCTATCTCAGCAATTTTTTTTTTTTTTTTTGTCTTTTTCATGACCGGTAAGGGGATCACAACCCTTGGCTTGGTGTCGCCCGCACCACGCTCAGCCAGTGAGTGCACCAGTCATCCCTGTATAGGATCTGAACCCACGGCGGGAGTGTCGCTGTGCTCCCAGTGCTGCACTCTCCCGAGTGTGCCACGGGGCCGGCCCCTCAGCAATTTTTTAAACACCTGTGGTTTTTATCAAGCACCGTCAGTCACCTTACGCACAAAGAAACATTGCCGGCGAACCTCCCCCCCCACACTCCCCAGTACGCGTCTGCCCCGCGCGAGCAGATGCGGGCCTTTCCCGCCACTGTTTGGTGGACGCTGGAACATCGTGACTTGCCTTCAGCCAGTACGCCATTCCTCGGAGCCGGGTTTCGTGACAGTTCGCTACACCTGATCGCTTCTTTGTGATGGAGTAGGGTTGGTCTCGGTTGGAAGAAGTGAGATGGGACCTAAGTCTTCCCTAATTAGCTTCCTACTTTTCCCCATCCACCTTAGGCCACAAATCCCATCACCGCCATCTGCTTGGCCCTTAACTACTGAGACCATAGATGTAACTGTTCCACACCTTTCACTCGAAATTTATCCCCAAAATGTTCCCCATACAGTCTTTTATTTCAAAGTTTCTTCCATACAGTCTCAGAGAGAAAAAGAGTCCCTCTTTTCCAAAGATAACTCCTCAACTTCATTCAACAATGATTGAATGTTTAAGATGTCGGTGCACTTGGGGAGATGACAGTTTTTTAAGTCTCCTTCCTTGAGGTTAGCCTGTTGGGAAAAGACATCTGTTAACTTGATACCTCCTCCAAAGCACTGCTCAGCTGTCATTCCTGGATGCCCTCTCCACTGGTTCCTCTCTCTGCCTATACAAATGCTGTACCTCTCCATCCACACACCCTCTGCCTTGATTCTGCTTTATCGCCTAAAGGCCATTCTGTCTCTGCTTCCCTTAATTGCCTCCACCTTTACACCTTACTTTCACCAATTCCATGTTATCTAGCTTGGCCCCGAACACTACTTTAAAATTTGCTTTAATTTTTTAGGAATGGCCTCTTAATTGACATCTCCACAGTTCTCTAGAAATCTCTTCTTGAAACCCTTCAGTCTTCATATTTGCAGAGTGTATTTACCCCTATTTTACCTTTGTCCACACTCCATGAGCAAAGATAAGTGGAGAAAATCTCAAGACTTTCTGAATCCTGAAAAAAACTAAGCAACTACTTAGCTCTAGAGCTGAAAAGATGTATTTGAGTATAATGAACCACCCTTCTTTCACCCTTCTCTCTGCACAGTGGCCATACATTAGAGGTGAACTGCTGGAATGTCTACACGTTCCAGGCTGTTGTTCATCTTGTATCCCTGGCACCCAACTCAATAAACGTCCTTCCTCTGTAAATATCCTCAAGTCACCAAAGCTCTCCCCACAACACTCAACAACCTGATATGAATATATAGTGACATGATCTGCCATGCAAGTTATATGCAGGCAGGAGAGCCTGGACTCTGATGCCGGGCTACCTAAATCTGAATCCTAGCTCTCCCTCCCTCTTCCTAGCTGTGGAGCCTTGGACAAGTAGCTTTAACCTGCCAGTTTCCTCATCTGTAAAATTGGGATAAGTACAGCACTTGCCTCAGAGGCTTACTGGGAGGATTTAAAGAAGTTAACTCGTATATCTAGAAAAGCAATGGCATGTGGAAGTACTCAACAAATGCTATCTATTATCTTGCATCTCAATACCTGACCTTACTTGCCAACTGGAAAGGAGGAAAAGAACTCCCACTGTGGTTTCCAAATCTCCTCAGACACTGAGTAGCGTCTTATGGCCAGAGGTGCCTCCCAGGGAATGAGGTGATACCTATCCAGTTAAAAAAAAGTCAGATATCTCCCTTAGTTCTCCTTTACCAATTTTAAGTATGCCTCAGCCACCAAAATCCAAAGCCTTCCAAAATGTGACAAACTTCCAGATTAATCTCCCACTGTTTAGTTCCCTAAATGTACCCTATTCTTACATCAGACTATTATTTAACATCCAAATGTACCCTATTCTTACATCAGACTATTACTTAACACCCTGTTCCAACATACCCCCATCCTCATTCCACCTGTTGAAATCCCACATCCCTTCCAAATCCTACCAGCTCAAATAGTCACTCTTTTATGCCTACTATATAATTTCTACTTTTATTAGAAAGCTGTTACCTTTTGTAAATTCTGGAAATGCCTTCTCCTACTAGAATGAATGTGTGCAGACTACCTATTTTTTACACAACCATAGTGTTTAGCACAGTATCTTGCACATAGTACCTGCTCCACATTCACTAAATTGGAGAATGGTTGCAAATCATTATCCCATTCTAACCCTAGGTACCTTTATAAAGATTGAAACTTCAAAGACATGAACCCCTTCCTGTGATCCTACATAAGCCTACAAGTCTAAAGCAAGGCCTTTGAGAATTGCTTGAAAAGGATTTTCTGTTTACACTGGAATGCTAACTTAAAGACAAAACATTTTAATGATTACACACAGCAAAATTCAAATGTTCCTTAAATTAAAATTAATAGAATATATTCCATCAGCTCTTTATCCTTTGCAATGTTCAGAAGCTCTGGGAGTATGACACTATTCAAGGAAAGGTATCTTTGAAAATTGTAATATACAAAACAATCATGTCACCTATGTGATTAACTAATAGACATATGAAATGTTATGCAAAATACATCTCTCTCTCTAATCCTGAGGAATACATCCTTGACAATTTCTGAGAAAAAGGAGCCCAAAAGAATATTACTAGTCCCACAACTTTAGCCATTTTACCATAATTATTGTCAAATATGTTCTAATGTTTACTATTTAGGTTGAAAGTCACAATCTATCAGTTCTAGATGTTAGTTGTTTACTATTTAGATTGAAAATATGTTCTAATGTTTACTATTTAGATTGAAAGTCACAATCTATCAGTTCTAGATGTTAGTCCACATACTGACTTTCTACCTTTTAAATAAACTTAGTACTTGTTCATCCCCTAATTGATTTGTTTGGAGTTGCTTTTTTGTTTTTGCAACTCGGTAAAAGGACAGTAAGCCTTACCAACTATCTTAAATAAAACTATCTTAAATAAAAGGTTCGTGTCTTTTAAAATATATTTTATTAAATAACCTACTTGGATAATAATTATAAAAGTTATAAACATTAATTCCAAGTAGTAAAAGGCAATTTCCTTTTTAAAAAAAGAAGACCAAAAAGTCCATAATGTTTTGCTGTTTTTTACACAGGAATGCTTTATTTTACATGCAGGTTAGTTGCAACATTAGCCTGTAACATTAAAACATTTCTTAATGTTTCAAAGGCAGAGTGAATTTCATAATGATACACTTCCACATTAACCAATATGACAAAGCATAAGAAACTTAAGATTATGATAACAGTTCAAAATAAAATTTACAAAACAGGCACTTTGAAGTCAGCTACTATGCCTAACTTCCACAGTTAATGTTATTTGTATGTTTCTCATTTCATCAAAGGTGAAGTAAATGTTCCTTTGATGCAGATGCACAAACAGGTTTAAGTTCCAGACATTATGTTTTGGTTGTAACACATGCAAGACACACCCTAAATTAGAAAAATCTTCTGAAATAAAATGAAGAAAAACAAAAAGCAGCCAGGAATGAAAGCATTTACAAGCATTTGAATGAGGCCTTTAAATGTTAAATCAGTGTTTTAAACCCCTTCATTCTCAGGTAGGGGATTAAGAGGCTGAGAGAGGTATCGTCTGCGAGGGTGAGGATACTGGAGGCTGGCAGTGTCAGCATCGCAAGAGTGCTCTACCAGAGGAGGAAGAGGAGGAGGAGGAGGAAGGAGCTGGGTATGACTGGACCATCTCAATCCAGCCCGTGGGGAATCCAGAGGGGTAAAGAAATACCTGAAACAATGAAGACAGGAACAAAACACCAAAACAAAACAAAAACAACAGGGAAAAAAAAAAAACAAGAAAAAGAGAAAAGTAGTAAATACAAAGAGAACCAAAGAGGAGAAAACACATGCTGGAAAAAAAAAGCTTTAGTATATTCATGCCAAAACTAACAAAACATAGTAGCACAAATCAAGACCCTTACTCAAAGCAAGATTGCTTAAGCAGGTATAGAAATTTGAAAGAAAGAAATACAGTCTGTTAAACTTAAAATGTCAAAAAAAATTATCAGTATGATTGTTACAAAGAAAGACATTAATTTTATAAATTTAGAACATTTTCTCATCTCTCAAAAACACATTTGATGCTATTCTGAAAATTTATAAATCTAATGAGCTTTATTTTAAGCAATGCTTCATTTATAGCAGCATCAGGCACACATTTTTCCAGTGCATACATGACACTGAGAACCAATTCAAATATACTTTGACATAGTCTGGCTGGCTACTGCAATATACATAGGAAGAAACACATCATCCAACATACTTACTTTTCTGCAAAAACCCTAGAATAGCTACACAATTTTGAGTAAAAGGATACAAAGAATTATTATGTCCTACTGCCATTCTTCCGCCATTTTATAACTTACCCGTAATACTCATGCATTTTATTAGCAAACTTAAAGATTTATAACTTTGTCATCAAGGTCAGAGCTTTACAGGATATAAACTAACTGAAACGGCCAACTAAATTAAGAAAATCCTGAGACATGGGAAGTTGAAGTAAATTTGCATGCACAATTCTGGCAAAATTTTAACTGCTTCTCTTATGTTTCCATTTTGACTTGAAGGAAATTTTAAGCCATGGAATCATACCATTAAAAAGTATACAACTACGTTTTAGAATATTTTCTCCTTAGTGAATATGAATTGAAAACTTATAAAGGTGTTTCCATTTTACTAACAAATTATAAATGTTTAAACAATATCATATACTTAACTTGGCTACAAACTGTATAGTCAAATTACTTTCATTTTACTACTACTGCTTTACTAATTTACTCCTTTACTAATATCTTTAAAATATTACAAACAAATGACAGATTTGTACTGAATAACATCATGTATAAAGCAATTCTACAAAAGGTAGACAGATCAGCACTCAAAACAATCTTTATGAAAAATATTTATTCAATCTTAAAATTAAAATTATAAAAATTCATCATTTTAGCTGTTTTAAAAAACAAAAGGAATAAAGTGTTATTTTCCCTCCTCCCAACTACTTATATAAGGATGGTAACAACCCTTTTAATTTTTAAACCCAAGTTAGTTTCAGGAACATTTCAAAAAAAATTGTTTTGGTGACAATTTCTCAACAAAAAGCCTCTCCATTTATATTTCAAAAGTTTCAAATAGTGTCAATAAACTGACTAGTACAAAAATTGATATACACTGTGTTTCTAAAGGCCTTTTGGACTGCGTTTAGTAGTAAGCAGGCTGCTGGTGTATCTTGGGAGAGGTCAAACGGCGCTGGGGAAGGGGAAAAGGAGCTTGCTTTCCATTCCTGTGTGCATGCAACAAGCAGCAAAACAGCAAAGTTACTCCAGTTAGCTTGTACTCAGCTGTGCTTTCTGTTAAAGGACATAATACAAATGGAGAAGGGAAAATGCATCACAGATCTAACACAGATGGTTATTGGCACAATAAGAATACAGATAAAAACGTCAAAGCTATTTACAAAAGAAAATATGAAGTACAGGCAATAACCAAAAATCAGATTTTTTAAAAAAGTTAATTCTAGTATTCTCTGCTTCAGGAAATCATCTTTATAATCTGATGTAACCTGAAATTGTTTTGTTGCAAATACTTAAAACCTCAAAATCAAATAGTAGGACTTCTTTATAAAAATATAACAATATAAAGATAGTTGAAGAAATTTTAAATACAATTTTCTTTTATTTAGGATGACAACAGGATAACCACAGGACATTTTAAGGCTGTGTTTTGAAGCTTCCTGAATTATTTTCCAAATTATTCACAAAAGCATATTAAAATAATTTTTTCTTACAAATCCACATATTTGAAATTTGGGTATGAAAACAAAAGGATGACTCTTTCAATCATACCAAATATTCTTTATTATGATAAACAAGAATCTAACTTACGCTAAATATTCTGAAAATCAAGAGATGTCATCTCCTCTTATAATCTCCATTAAAGTTTTAAACAGAAAAGCCAAATCATTTAACTCACTCTCTTCTACAAAGCCTTAATTAATGTATTTTATTTAAAATTTCAGTTTGACCTGATGCAAAGGCCACACTATAAGCACTAGAAAACACTCATGCTCACCTAGGACTAAAACCCTCACTATTAAATCATATTTCTTCTTCCTCTCATCACTGCAGAAGCAAAGTAAAATCTTAAACAAAGCTATAAACATTTCTACTAATAGACCACTAAACCTCAGAATATAATTTAGCTTAATGACCTCACAACCTACCTGTAAATATTAGGACCAAGTAAGCCAAATACAGAGCTAACGAAGTGAATTTTTAAATTCTAATGTCATAATTACATGTGAATTTCTTCATTCTATCTTATAATTCATGAAATAAACCGCCATCAGTACTGCTACCAGAATGATTAAAAAAGAAGACAATTTCTAGTTTTCCCACAAAATAGCTTACCTGCCAGCAGAAGATCCATTTAAAGAATTTTGAAGATTTGGAATATTTGAACCTAGGGACAGATTTGAGTTTCCCTGCTGAGAACTCCCATTGACTGGGCTCCCATTACCTTTCAGAATGCCAGTACACTTCCAATTGTCCCACTTCCAATTGTCCATATAATTACAGAATGCCAGTACACTTCCAATTGTCCATATAATTAGCTGAAAAGAAAATGGTCAAATACATTAACATGATTAATACCTATGCGCAAGGGCACAAATTTGTACCTGTGTCCTTAAACTACAATTAAAGAAATGAGAGAGAAGCTATGGGCTACATTTCTTTCAGGATAAACATTAAAGACATTTTTAAGATGAAATACAGATTAAGTATCCCTTATCCAAAATGCTTGGAACCAAAAGTGTTTTAAATTTTGATTTTTTCGAACTTTGGCATATTTGCATATACATCATGAGATATTTTGGGGATGGGACCCAAGTCTAAACATGAAATTCATTTATGTTTCATATATTCCATATATAGCCTGAGGTAACTTTACACAATATTTTAAAATAATTTTGTGCATGAAACAGTTTGTGTACACTGAACCATTAGAAAGCAGAGGTGTCACTATCTCAGCCACCCATGTGGACAGTCTGGTCATCTGGCATCACCATAATTCCTGATTCTAAATTTATGTGCTACCCATAAGCAATAATTTTCTTACACTTATTCACACATAAGTATTTAACAATAAAAAATATGACATACCATTAACACAGTGGAAAAAAAAATGTGTTCGGGGTAACTAAGCAGCACAGTAGCATCACCAGAACACCTGTGTCAGCTGTTAAACAACAAACAAGGGTAGGCTGAATAAACTGTGTGTTATGCACCTGCGTTTTGACTGCGACCTGTCACATGGGGTTACACGTGGAATTTTCTATTTGTGGCGTCTTGTCAGTGCTCAAAAAGTTTCAGATTTTGGAGCTTTTGGACTTCAGATTTTCAGATTAGGGATGCTCAACCTGTATGTATTATCTCAGTTTTAACAATTTTTTAAGTTTCAAAGAATTACTAATTTAAAAAACATAAAGCTTTTATCACCCACTTCCCTTCCTTACAAGATAAATTATTAGCAGAGACCATTCTCTAAGCTACCACGTTATCACATTATGAAGTTAATATCAAAAAAAAATCTTTGTCTTCATAATAATGAATGTCCTTACATATATATGTAAGGTAGTGGAGTTGTCTTCTGGGTAATGCAAGCATAAGTTATGTGGGTGCCTAACTAATGTCTTCAGAAATGAATGCAGGTAACTAAACCCTTGGACTATGAGTGCTTTATTCAAAATGGCCCTAATTCTTTGAATGCAAATTTGGTCACTGGAGACAATAAGCCCAGGAAACCCAAGTTAGGGAGCCTGTTGGGATGCTGCTTGGTGGTCCTAAGGCCCAGAGGTAGAAAAGAACAACAAAGCTCTTAAAATCAAATTACACTGAGGAAAGGAAGGTCTGGGCTGGTTCTACCACAGCCTAATACATATTTGGGAGGCCCTCCAGCTTAGCCAAACTGCACTTTGGAAAACAATAACTGCTCAGGGTAAATGAACTAAGACAGCTATAATTTTGGATGCTCAGTATGAGACGCCACCTACTGCGGTGATACACAAATCATGGACACCTCTGCCCAATGCGTAAACACATTCATGGAAAAGTGCAGAACCAAGCTACAGGGACCACAATCAGTGTCAAGTGACCAGATCGAGTTCTCTCTCAGCCTAACTCTTGTAAGAAACTTTCAGAATCAGGGCCCCACGGTTCTTGAATTTCGGGGAATTGGAGAGAGGAAGTGGGGAGAAATTGGATTTTCTCCTGTTCAGGACTGGTTATCTAAAGCAATTCTTTAATAAAACAAGAGATATCTGTAGTCTGATCCTGAGTTTGTAGAGCAGTCACTCAAGTTACACATACGGTTAATGGTATCTTTTTATTACAGACACTGCATATTCTGTTATAATTACCTTAGTTTTAAAAGTTGCTTTGTTCCACACAGAACTTAAAAAATAATTAAATTAGTCATTAACTGCTATGAACTAGGTAAACTGATATTCATTTTTTTTTTTTTTAAAGATGACCAGTAAGGGGATCTCACCCCTTGGCTTGGTGTTGTCAGCCCCCCGCTCTCCCGAGTGAACCACGGGCCGGTCTGGTAAACTGATATTCAAAATCTGGCGAGTGTTTGAATATCAGTTTACCTAGTTCATAGCAGTTAATGACTAATTTAATTATTTTTTAAGTTCTGTGTGGAACAAAGCAACTTTTAAAACTAAGGTAATTATAACAGAATATGCAGTGTCTGAAATAAAAAGATACCATTAACCGTATGTGTAACTTGAGTGACTGCTCTACAAACTCAGGATCAGACTACAGATATCTCTTGTTTTATTAAAGAATTGCTTTAGATAACCAGTCCTGAACAAGAGAAAATCCAATTTCTCCCCACTTCCTCTCTCCAATTCCCCGAAATTCAAGAACCGTGGGTTTGAATATCAGTTTACCTAGTTCATAGCAGTTAATGACTAATTTAATTATTTTTTAAGTTCTGTGTGGAACAAAGCAACTTTTAAAACTAAGGTAATTATAACAGAATATGCAGTGTCTGAAATAAAAAGATACCATTAACCGTATGTGTAACTTGAGTGACTGCTCTACAAACTCAGGATCAGACTACAGATATCTCTTGTTTTATTAAAGAATTGCTTTAGATAACCAGTCCTGAACAAGAGAAAATCCAATTTCTCCCCACTTCCTCTCTCCAATTCCCCGAAATTCAAGAACCGTGGGTTTGAATATCAGTTTACCTAGTTCATAGCAGTTAATGACTAATTTAATTATTTTTTAAGTTCTGTGTGGAACAAAGCAACTTTTAAAACTAAGGTAATTATAACAGAATATGCAGTGTCTGAAATAAAAAGATACCATTAACCGTATGTGTAACTTGAGTGACTGCTCTACAAACTCAGGATCAGACTACAGATATCTCTTGTTTTATTAAAGAATTGCTTTAGATAACCAGTCCTGAACAAGAGAAAATCCAATTTCTCCCCACTTCCTCTCTCCAATTCCCCGAAATTCAAGAACCGTGGGTTTGAATATCAGTTTACCTAGTTCATAGCAGTTAATGACTAATTTAATTATTTTTTAAGTTCTGTGTGGAACAAAGCAACTTTTAAAACTAAGGTAATTATAACAGAATATGCAGTGTCTGAAATAAAAAGATACCATTAACCGTATGTGTAACTTGAGTGACTGCTCTACAAACTCAGGATCAGACTACAGATATCTCTTGTTTTATTAAAGAATTGCTTTAGATAACCAGTCCTGAACAAGAGAAAATCCAATTTCTCCCCACTTCCTCTCTCCAATTCCCCGAAATTCAAGAACCGTGGGGTCGGCCTATGTCCAATGTCCAGTGTCCTTATAAAAGACAAAAGAGGAGAAAGAGAGACACAGAGAAGGCCATGTGAACACAGCGACAGAGACTGGAGTTATGTTGCCACAAGCCAAGGAACTCCTGGAGCCAACGAAGCTGGAAGAGGCAAGAATTTCAGAGGAAGCACAGCCCCACCAACACCTTGATTTCAGATTTCTGGCCACCAGAACTGTGAGTGAGTAAATTTCTGTTAAGGGAGCCAGTTTGTGGTAATTTGTTATGGTAGCCATAAGAAACTAATATAACCTCCCAGGTTTCTTCCTTTGGTGATACAAGTTCAGCTTAAAACAGCTTAGTAAAAATTTAATTAGAGTAGGTCTTGATTTATTTGCAATTAATACCTTTTTAAGGCAAGGGTAATGAATTTCCTAAGTATTTGAGTATAAATAAAAAAGTAAAGCTGATAAAAACAGGAACTGAGTTTGTGATGATAACAGGAAACTATGCCAAAGTCTATTTCATTCTTAGAATTCTATTTCGTTGTCTGTAAACAGAATTCTTTGTCTGTAAATAGAGAATAAGAGGACAATAAAGGAGATGGCAGATCAGAGTTTCCTATTAGGTTCTATGTCTTCATTGAATATCATGAACAGAACTGAAGCAAGCAACCCTGTGTATAGGACAGGGGACAGAGAGATGTCCCCATCCCACCTTTCCACTACCCTCCTCTAAGATATTGGTGTTTCCAGCATTCTATACTTGATCTTTTCTTTAACTCAACATTCTTTCTGAAATATCTACCAACTTGGTATGACTCAAGGTTCTCTCCTTGACCTCTTCTCACCCTGTATGATCACTCTACACAATCTTGTGCACATCCTTGCTTCTACTGCATGGTCCGCAACAGCCTGGGCACTTCTGAGAAATGCAGGACCTCGGTCTCCACCCCAGGCCTACAGAAGCGGAATATGCATCTTAACAGGATCCCCAGATGATTCACATGGACATTAAAGTTTCTTTTTTTTTTTTTTTTTTTTTAAAGATGACCGGTAAGGGGATCTCAACCCTTGGCTTGGTGTTGTCAGCACCAAGCTCAGCCAGTGAGCAAACCGGCCATCCCTATATAGGATCCGAACCCGTGGCCTTGGTGTTATCAGCACCGCACTCTACCGAGTGAGCCACGGGCCGGCCTTGGACATTAAAGTTTCTATACCCAAGGTTTCATTACCTATAAACAAATAACTCCTACATCTAACACCTCCAGCCCTGTCTGCCAAAGGCCAGAAATAGGAGAGGGCTAGTTAAGAGCCCATACTGCAGTCAGAATGCCTGTGCTTCAATCTGCACCAAATCCACTATCAGCTGAAACTTGACCTTGAGCAAGAAGTTCTCTGTAAAGTGGGGATAACACCAGTACTGACTCTAAGTGACCCATGACCCCCACCTCCTGCTATCACACCCTTGTGGAGTCTTGTCCTGCAAGCGTGGGTGGGTCCCATGACTTGTTTTTTAACCAGGGGAGGGAATATGGCAAAGGTGAGGGGACGATATTTGCATGACTACAGTGCACAGCTGGCACTGCCTGCCTTATAAGATGCACCCCTGCGGGCCTTAAGCAGCACCTGTCTGCCTTATAAGATGCAGCCCTGCGGGCCTTAAGCAGCACCTGTCTGCCTTATAAGTTGCACCCCTGTGGGCCTTAAGCAGCAGCTGCCATGCCATGAGCTCCCCTAGGGAGAGGGGACACATAAGTGCTGCCAACAACCAGCTGAGTGCCGATGTGGAGCTTTCTCCAGTCAGGCCCAGACTCCTGAGCCACAGAAACTGTAAGATAATAAATGTGTGTTATTTAGTCCACTAAGTTTGTGGTAATATTGTTATGCAGCAACAGGTAACTAATCTTAGACATTATATCCATCTGCCCTTTAGAGATTCCCACCTGCATGCCCTAAAGGCACCTAACTAAGTATGTCCCAAGTGAACTCTCTCTCCATTCACATTCATTCACTGCTCTTTGTGTGTCCCCATCTCAATAAATGGCACGACTATCAGACAAGACAGAAACCAAGGACTCACTTGCCCTTCAACTGGCAACTCAGTCATGTCAATTCCAACCCCTAGACAAGTCCCCTCCTCTTCATCCCATTACCTTAGTGCACATTCCTCATTCTTTATCACAGTGGGCTTTATCACAGTGGGGCTACCACATTAATTCTGACTCCCCTGCTTTCAGTCTCACTTCCCCACAGCTGCCAAGGTCAACTTCCTAAAAGGTAAATACAACCATATAACTCTACAGGACCCTACAAAAGTCCAAATGTGATAGGAGGAACACCAAACTTGAGTGCTTACAGCACTCTCCAAATTCTGCCTGGCCTGCTGGCATGCCTCTCTTGCACCCGTCCTCCCAGTCTAACACCTCACCAGGATGGATCTGCTCCACATCTTTGCTCTTGCTTCCTCTCTGCCTGCAGAACACCTGCCATCTTTCAAGACTGAGGCTCAAACATCAACTTCTACCCAACACTTCTCCTAGCCCTCTCAGGCAGAACTGACAGCTCTTTTCTGCTCTGCTGTACCTGGTACAAGCTACTACCCTAGCAGCTACTGCAGTTTACTGTACTGAGCTCGTATCCTAAAGACTGTAAGCTCCTTATGTGCAAGACTGCAGTATAGTCACGTTTTATCTTCAGCTCTTAGTACAGTCCCTGATGCTTATGAAATGCTGGAAAAATTTGAGATTATTTTGACAAGCTTTATGCTTTAATAAAGATTCTCTAAAGTTTTTCCTATCTGCAGGAACCGAATAAGAGCCACAATGAGACTAAACAAGGAGAATAAACAAAAAAGATCTATTTCTGGTCCTGACTCCTATATTTGACCTTAAACTGGTCATTTTACTCTATTGGTCTCAGTTTCTTCCTTTATAAAATAGTGCTAATATAAAAGCTGCCTACCCTACTCATAAGGTGGTTGTTAGGACTCAAATTTCGTAATATATATTAAAGTACCCTGTAACCTATACAGCTGCATGGCATTTGCATTATCAAGTCTAGATCTATCTTAATATTTTCACTCACCAATAAAAATAAATATATCCAATACTGGTTAATTTGGCAAATGTTTCCTGTGTACCAAATGGAGATACTACTTACAAGAAAATAAACAGGTATTAATAACTGGATGCTATGTAGTCCACTATCACATATCCTCCATGTAAACATGTTCAATCTAAATAAGAACCTTCAAACAACTCTTACTCAAAGAACCAACACCAAGAAATACAAAAAGTGCCGAACTGAAAAACTCAGATTACTTCCTAAGTCACACACATGTGCGTGTCCATGCAGACACTTACCTACCCAACACCACTGCCCTCCCCCATTCAGATGCTGAAAATGCCAGACACTTGCTATCTGACTCCCCGGCAGCTAAAGCATGGATGGGTGACCCAATTCTGACCAGCAGCACTGATGAGAAGCCAACTAAGATGCCTCTAGAAAAGTTTTTTTCTCCCCAATATAAAAAGACACATGAAAGGAAATAACTGCATGTGAAACCTGGAACTGCTGCAGCCTCTTATAATCATAAGAGGGAGCTGTCACCAACATACTAAGGATGACAGTAAAGAAATGGAAAAGACTTAGGTAGGTCCCTGATGTCACCATCAAGAGACAGAGTCATTTAACTAACCCCAGAACTGCTCCACCCCTGGCTCCTTGTTACATGAGACAATAAAGAGGACCCAGCCCCTAATCTGGATTTATTCTGTTTAAGTGATTCATATGCAACCAGAGATTATTTTAACAGTGGATTATTTTAAGTAGTCAAGTAACTTCTATTTGCCTGTATTTTCTTTCGGAACTAACTGCAAGTTCTTTCTTTTTAATCAAATCTTATGTATCAAGTACTTTTATTTTCTTATGTTTTTAGAAATGGTCCATCTTTTAAGTTTTGGATTTATGCCTCCATATTCATTCTGTTCACCTAAGATTGAAAATTACTTTAAAAATACTAATTCTTTGGGCTGGCCCGGTGGCGCGCTGCAGAGTGCGCCGTTTGGGAGCATGGCGGCGCTCCCGCCGAGGGTTCGGATCCCATGTGGAGACCGGTTCCCGCTCACTGGCTGAGCGCGGTGCGGGCGCAGCATGCAGCTAATGGCCACTGCATTACATGGCACAGATACAGACCATTTCCACCACCCCAGCGAGTTCTATAAAACAGCACAATTGTAGACAGAGCCTCTCAGAAGAAGTCAAGAACCTAGGAAGGTAGAAGATATAACAGCCCCTCAGAAACCCAAGTGGTAACATTCTGAATTGCAGAGCTGTAGTGGATTGAATTATGTCCCCTCAAAACTCATTGAAGCTTGAATTGTGTCCACCAAGTTTCGTGTATTAGAAACTTAGTCCCCACTGTGACTGTTAAGAGTGTGGGAAATCCTATCATGGTAATTGAAAGGTAGAGCCTTAAAGAGGTGATTGGATTGTAGGACCATGCAGTAGTGAATGAATTAAAAATGGTGGTCAAGGTAATGGTTCTGAGGGCTTTAAAAGAAGAGGAGAGTCTGTCTCTCTCTGCTCTGCTCTCTCTGCTTCCAACATCTTGCAATGTGAGACCTCTGGGTCACTGTTGCCGCCACCACCAGATGGACTTTGGACATCCCAGCCTCAGAAACTGTAAGCAATAAATATTCTTTATAAATTACCCAGTTCTAGGTGTTTTGTTATAAGCAACAGAACCAGACTAATACAAGAGCCCATGGGAATTACACCAGTTCGTCTCTTCTGCTTCTTGCAAGGCCTGACTTCTAGACCCAAGAATTTTGTCTAGCACCTATGAAGCCCACCTGATCACCTGATGGATGCTCTTTCCTCCATAAGACTGAGTACAGATGATCCTCGATTTGCAATGGGGTTATGTACCGATAAAACCCATCGTAAGTTGAAAATATCTAAGTACAAAATGCATTTAATGCACCTAACCTACCAAACATCATAGCTTAGCCTAGCCTACATTAAATGTACTCAAAACACTTACAGTTGGGCAAAACTGTCTAACGCAAAGCCTATCTTATAATAAAGTGTTCAATATCTCAGGTAATTTACTGAATACTGTACATTACAACAAAATTGTGATGGTTTCCCACCACTGGAAAGTTGGAAAATCGTTATGTTGAACCATCCTAAGTCAGAGACCGTCTGTATATCTGACACAGGGCTTATGCCTTCTCAGAGTTTACAGATACCTATATCTCAACATGACCAAAATTAATTTATCTTCACGTGCTACCACACGCTACCCAAGTCTACCCTGTTTCTCTAGAAATTACACACTATCCATCGAACTGTTAAGCCAGAACCTTGGAATCATCTTGATCCCTTTCCCTTCTCCCTCACCTCCCACGTCTAATCAATCATCAGATCCTATTGATAGTACGTCTTAAATTATTCTCAAATTTTTTGCTTCTCTCCATCCCCACGGGCACTATTCTATTCCAAAGCCACTATAATTTCCCACCTGGACTATTACACCAACACTGTTGCACTGAATGTACTCATGTTCTCTCCCAACACACTTTCCATACCTATGGAAGAGTTAAACCACTCTCTGATCCTATCATTCCCTGCTCACATTACCTGTAAGATAAAATCGAAACGATAGACGCTAGGTCTTGCAGATATGAGTCTTGACTATTTCTCACCACACTCCCTTCTACCTACTTTCTTCCAAACACAGTAGAAACAGGTTGGTACATCTTGTCCATGGGCCTTACCGCGTGCAGCAGTGTCCACCCGGTGTGCCTCTGCCCTCTTTGTCTTGCCAACTTCTTATCGTATAGATCTTCTTCTAGGTGAACCTCCTTGGCCCCCAAACTAGATGAGGTCCTCCTAGGTATAAACTCTTCAACACTGATTCTCCTAGATCATAAAATTCATCAACCTTTTTACTAT